TAGGGGACGGCGCACACAACCGGCACCCCCACAACCGCCACCCCCACACTCCTCACCCCCAAACCCTAAAACGGGTGGCACGGGGTAGGAGCGTGGGGGACGGCGAGGGGGAGGGCGCGCGGCCCCCAGGGCGCCACCACGGGGCAGTGAGGGGCCGCGCGCGACTCCCCAGGGCGTCGCGACGTGACGACGCGAACGGGGGGGGGGGGGGACGCGCGGCCCCCGTGGCGCCACGACGGGCGACGGAAGGGGGGGGGGGGGGGGGACGCGCGGCCCCCGAGGCGCCTCGACGGGCGACGGGATGAGGGGGACGCGCGGCCCCCGCGACGCCACGACGGGCGACGGGAGAAGGCGCCACGACTGGCGACGGGATGGCGGGGGGGGGGGGGGGGGGGGGGGGGCGCGCGCGGATCCACGGGGTAGAAAACTGCCGCGCGCCTCGGGGCGCACGGCGGGCAGAAAACCGCCGCGCGCCCCGAGCGCACGGCGGGATGAAAAACGCCGCGCGCTCCGGGCGCGCGGCAGGAAGAAAGGGTCACGCGCCAGGGGCGCGCGACAGCAGTAGAGCAGGGAAGCATCGGGTGGGGCCCACCCACAGGATCGACCCAAGGGGATCGACCTGCTCTGAAACCATGTCAGAACCAGCAGCAGAAACAAGAATGAAGAAAGGAGGGTTTGCACTAGCAGCAGTTGGCATACATATAGGAAACCCTAATTGGGTTGTACTCGCTATAGAGTACCCCACTGTAGGCTAGACAATAATAACATTCTGACAGAGTCGACTATATGATGCTCGTTTGAGCCACTCCCGGTTGCGTTTTGAAGGGGGCGCTTAAGCTGTTTTGCATTTTTGCATAAGTTTCACCAATTCGCAGCTAGCAAAAAAGGATTCGCCAGGTGCTTATAAAATAATTGTAACTTATCCGTTGACATTTTGACTTCAGTCTCTTCAGTTTGACTTCGGTCTGTTCGTTACTATTGATTCAGAACTACTGCACCTTGCGCTACGTGCTTGTAACGTGGGTGCAACTGGCTGGGAAAAAAACACGGGTGCAGAGTTTCCATCCGGTGCAGGGCAAATTCGCGTGCAGGGGTTGAGCATCATGTTGTATGGCTGTGATTGCATAGCACAGTGTACAGTCATGTTTTCCCCAGTTGCGACGATAGCTCACTCCGCTCGACAAAGCACGGCGGAGCCCTCACTGACTCACGACCCCATGCGCTCTGGCATGAAGCACAGGACTTGAAAGAGAGAGAAAGAACGAAATGATGCAGGAAGCATTCAGAATGCAAAATTACGCGTCGAGCTAATACTCTTGTGAAAGAAGACGGTTAGGTTGGAAGAGGGTGACAGATTAAGGTTTCAATATCAAGGCTTGTGTCACATACTTGCTGGCTTGATTTCGACATTCCCGGGCCGCTGGAATTATCTAGTTATCTGGTAGAGGTATCCTGGTCTTACTTTGATGCACTTCACACCTTATTTCGCAGTCTGAGAGCCTGACAGCCTGACAGCCTCTACGAGCGACTAATTACTATTTGTCAGAATGTTATAATTGTCTAGCCTGCAGTGGGGTACTCCATAGTGAGTACATCCCAATTACCTTTTGCTATATGTATCCAACTGCTTGCTAGTGAAACCACTCCTTTCTTCATTCTTGTTTCTGCTACTAGTTTTGACATGGTTTCAGAGCAGGTCGACCCCCTTGGGTCGATCCTGTGGGTGGGCCCCACCCGATGCTTCCGCTGCTCTACTGCTGTCGCGCGCCCCTGGCGCGTGACCCTTTCCTCCTGCCGCGCGCCCGGAGCGCGCGGCGTTTTTCATCCCGCCGTGCGCTCGGGGCGCGCGGCGGTTTTCTGCCCGCCGTGCGCCCCGAGGCGCGCGGCGGTTTTCTACCCCGTGGATCCGCGTGCGCCCCCCCCGCCATCCCGTCGCCAGTCGTGGCGCCCTCTCCCGTCGCCCGTCGTGGCGTCGCGGGGGCCGCGCGTCCCCCCCATCCCGTCGCCCGTCGAGGCGCCTCGGGGGCCGCGCGTCCCCCCCCTTCCGTCGCCCGTCGTGGCGCCACGGGGGCCGCGCGTCCCCCCCCCCGTTCGCGTCGCCACGTCGCGACGCCCTGGGGAGCCGCGCGCGGCCCCCGATTCCCCGTCGCGCCGCCCTAGGGAGCCGCGCGCAACCCCCCGCTGCCCCGTCGCGGCGCCCTGGGGAGCCGCGTGCGGCCCCTCGCTGCCCCGTGGTGGCGCCCTGGGGGCCGCGCGCCGTCCCCCTCGCCGTCCCCCGCGCTCCTACCCCGTGCCACCCGTTTTAGGGTTTGGGGGTGAGGAGTGTGGGGGTGGCGGTTGTGGGGGTGCCGGTTGTGTGCGCCGTCCCCTACTCCTCCTCCTCCTCCGTCTCCCGCTGCTGCAGCTTCCGCTCAGGGGGGTGGGTGTGTGGGGAGCCGAAGGAGTGGTGCTAGGGGGGTGACGGGGGAGTGGAGCTAGGGACGCAGCAGTGGGTGTTTGAAAGGGGTCTGCGACAGTTGGGGGAGGTTGCGCGGAGGTAGCCGTCGTGTCGCCAGCAGCGCCAGTAGTCCGGAGCCCTTGCTCTCGGTAGCCCAGCGAGCCTGCTGCGCCAGTCGCCCGTGGGTCCGTTGCTCCTGCCGCTCGTCGTAGCCGCGGAGTCTGTTACTCCAGTAGTCCGGGGCCCTTGCTCCGGTAGCCACTGTGCCAGCCGCTTCTGTTGCCCGTGTGTCTGCAGCTTCAGTCGTCGCCTCCAATCTTCTCTCCTCTCACAGTCCCTCCTCCTCCTCACTTGCCCTCTGTGATTGCCTCTAGCTTTGCTTGTAATTGTGAACTATTACTATGCTTACTTGTTGTGCTGATTACACCCCACTTTGGCTATGGGAGTGTGTCAGAATGTTATAATTGTCTAGCCTGTAGTGGGGTACTCCATAGTGAGTACAGCCCAATTAGGGTTTGCTATATGTATCCAACTGCTTGCTAGTGAAACCACTCCTTTCTTCATTCTTGTTTCTGCTACTAGTTCTGACACTATTAAGGACCGCGTAATACGCGCGCTTGTGCGCGTAGATTCTCCTTCACTCTTCGCAAGCTTTAGTTCGGTATCCGTCAGCGGTAAGATCCGTAACCCGGGTGGATCGATGGCGCCTTCCAAGGGGAGTGCCTTGGCGGTAGCGGCTGTGCTGCAGCTGCTGCTCCTACTAGCGGGTAACGCCGTGCCGTGCGCGTGTCAGGACACGAGCTTGCAGCAGTGCTTCTGGCCGCTCAACGACACGGAGAGTAAGCTCGCTATCGCGCGTGTCGGCTTTCCTTCACGCAATGTTGGCTTCGTTTCGCTCAATGTCTGCTTCTACTAGAAGCAGGAAAAGGGAAGTGCGAAAAGAAACTTAAAAGTTAAGAAACCGCAACTCTAGGGTTACTTGGAAAGCGCAAGAAAAAAGTCAAGGTTCAAAACAGTGGGTGCACGAGTGACTTGTTCTGCAACTACTGCGTCACTTTACGGGCAGTTTCGGGATACTTCAAAATTGGAAAACAGTATACGTATGCGGTTTCCAAAACCAACCCCAAAGTTGCTTGCCAAGTTACTCATCATGCTACGTGTAAGTGACGCTCGAACATCACCCGAAAGCTTCGGAAACGCAACAGAAGAGCCCCCACCCGTACTGCAACTCCCCGTGGCGAAACAGTTCAACTACCGCCACGACGTAAGCGAACACTTCCACAAGTGAACTGCATTTCACACCGTCTGATCTTTGTGCTTAAAACTCAATCCTGGCTCTACAACTGTCGCTAAACTACAACCTCGCACTATGCATTACCCCTTCGCGCGACGCAAATCGCCAATCCCGCCACCATCACACCCTCACATCTCATCCATTCATCTCTACCACTGCAATGCAGCCACGAAATGACACGTAGCCTCAACCGCAACCACACACAAAGCACCACTCCTCATGCCGAAACCGCAATCCCGTCACTATAAGTGTCGCCTCACTACAAACTCGTACGCTGAGTTACACACTCGCTATCCGCAAATCGCCATGGTCGCCAACACCGCCAACTCATATCTCATCCGCACATCTCTAGACCCAGCAGGCAGTACCCTTATGCCACGTTGCGGATACCGCAACCATACCCATAACACCTACATTGCATCATATAACCAATCGGCAGCCGACAACATACTCAGTTCAAATGCATGGCGACCGCCAATTCTTACCGCCATCGTGCCTCGACAACGCTGCAAGTGTCACACTCCCATGCTTTAGCGCGATGCGTAACTAAACCGCGACACCATTTCGCATACAACGCAACCACAGGCGCGAAAGCATTTGGACCGACCACATTTGCCCACGTCAACACAATCAGTAGAAGCACCAACCGACGCAGACCACTGACCACTAACAACCCGCCGCCGTCACCAATTCTAGCCATACCCTTGCCGACAACTGGCCCTAATCCGCGCAACGTTGCAAACCTATCACACAACTCCAAAAAATACCACTACACGTTGACGTCCGCTGGATTTTGGGTTTAGATATTTTCCAAACGTCTACGATTTCGTGTTCACACTCTAAAGTCCACCTACCACCGTATTTTCCGGCGAAAAACCCGCCGCAAATTGCGGCGCGCTCCGACAAACCACGCTATTACAGGGAATACTGTGTACGACACCCGCCGCCGCCATCCACGGATGCATATGTCAATTTCCGATCGTTAAATATGGGAAAGTGAATACTATGAAACCCAGCACAGAATATAGTACAAGAAACCGCATACTAAACCCTCCAGTTTCCGCATACCTATCCCACAATTCGTGACTCCATAACCACAACCAACCAACTAGAAAGCAAAACCCAAACAACAGCAAAGGACACACACACCCGAACTACCACACGACTTGCAGTAGAAGCATTATTGCAGGCGATTCTAGTCATCACCAAAGGACGCGGACAGCTCTTCGTCACAGCCGATATCTTCAGCATGGGATCCGCCTGCAGGCCTCATCCCTTCGAGACCACTAACCGAAGAAGCATACCGTGGCGCCCCGATATCCAGGCCTGACGCTCAGCATCCCATTCGGGATTGAAAACACCAATAGCCCTCTCAACAGCTCCTTTGGCGAGCACCTTGAGCCTATTGACGACGTGGCCGTTGCCACCAGCAGAGTTGGAAAGGCGGCCTTTGCGCTCCTCCCAATACATGACAGCATCCGTGACCTGCATCAACCATTAACCCACTTTAGCCAGCCCCACATGTGAAAAAAACCTACACGATATCCATGCCATCACACTCACCACGTGCTCGAGCCAGGCCAAGTGGTACACATTCAGCGTGAGAGGAACTCCTGGCTTCTTCGGCTTGAAGGCGGCCTTGGCGCACGCGACAAAGGCAGCAGATGCAAATGGCATGCCTTGGCGGTCGTTGCTCCAGTTTGAAAGGGCAAGAGTTTCTGCACACACCACAAAACATCGCGGGTTTAACACACTCGTAAAGACTATGACACATCGACGGCTACTACCAAGGAACAAGGACTCAACACGTACCTTCTCCCTCACCGGCCAGCCCTATGCGTCCCCGAATCTTCTCTGCGCTGCGCTCCTTCTCCAGTGCCCATGGGCTCGAAGCATCTCTCTCGTCTCGGAACAACCCGAGCTTGGGAAGCGCAATATCTCTAACTCGCGCTGCAGCACGGGTCTTCCACTCGCTCAACGTCTTGTTGAAATCAGCGCGACGTGACTTGTCTGCAGCCAGGGCCAGACATGCGTAACTGTAGGGCAGACGGTCCAAAACCGCACACACCCCGTCGGTTTTGTCGTCGCTACTCTGGTAAAACGTCATCGTTGCGAACGGCTTGCTCAGAAACAGGTAGACCCTCACTAGGTCGCATATGCGCTGCACACCACATGGAAAAATAGAAAAACCAATGCGATTTTATGTTCACTTCCGTCATCTGTATCCCAAATAACGATGCTGCACATTCAACAACCGCACGACCACAACCTGCACTAACCACAACACAAACGACCACAACCATTCACCTTGCACGCCTCACCTTCCACGCCTTGTCAGCAGGGAGCAGATCAAGTGCGCTCTGCAGCACAGGCGACCTCGATGACCTCATATGGTGCCGGCGCGAATCATCACTCTCGTCATCCTCGTCGCCTTCGGAAGCGTCACTGCGCGCCTCCACACGGCGACGTTTCGGGTTGGCACACCCGAGTCCAGGATCTCTCTGCTTCTCCGCTTTCCGACGATGTGACCCAACAGGACTCTTTGCCAAGGCTTTCAGCAATATTTCTTCCAGACGAGCCACGGTCTTAGCGTTGTCATCTTGCGCCCGCTTAAGACTATCAAACACGGCCCGCGACACGGTCACCTCCTTGGTAGGGTTTCGTGACCCCTCGGGGGATGCGCGCAAGGCGACCAGCGGGTCATCACCCTCCACGTCAAGGGGTTTATCGTTGCCCCTTTTTGTTGCATTCTGCGCTCTAGATAGAACATGTTCGACGGTCTTCGTTTTTGCCTGTCCCTCATCGCTCTCGCCCTTGCTCGCGGACTGCGCCGATTCGGATTCTTCAGCATCAGAATAGTCACGCTGTTGTGTCGCCTCCGTGGTCTTAAGCCCCTCAGTTTCCTCTGGCAAAATACCCCGGCATAAAACAAAAACCACAAAGGCTTGACTCACACCATCAACAACACACAATGGGGTGTGTGGTAATAAGCAACTAGCAAAAAAGACTGCACAGAAAAAAGGCATGTACAACCACTAACCGCATACCTTCTTCCACAGATGTTGGAATCTTCTTCAACCTCGGAAAGTTCAGCTTCTTCGGGATATTAGAACCCCGGGGACCCCTTGCACCACGACCCCTAGGAGCGGCCAGTTGATAAGACGCCCGCAAATACGCTGGCGCCTGCGTCGCCCTCCGGGATCTCCCGGCCGGCTCGGTGTTCTGGGAGGCGATGGATTTTTCCATCTTGGAGAGTGTAATGACAGGAGTGAATCAAGAGTTCTTGCTATGAGGTCTATTTCAACATCCACGTACAACCAGGGTCCAGCTTCTGGTATGCACAAAACCATAAGGGTATTCGGTAACCAATTCAACTGGTGGATTACCGCAATCCAAACGTCCAATCATAAGATGCTACATCAGCAGCAACGTGAACCGCCAAAACTATATCACAGCCGCGCGGTATGGCGCATGAAAACTTCACGCGTGTAGGAAGTGCAAAATCGCATACTACATGAAAAGAACAGTCACGAATACGTCAACACAATGCCATATTGTAACATATTTCTAAAAAACTCATGCACAACCGTGGGTTCACAACAGTTCTCCATAATATGGCTCAATCATACAAAACAATATTTGAACGAAACCCACAATCAACTGCAACCACTTTATCTGCAACTGCAACAATCTCCACATCCCTTATTAAACCACATATCCTAAGCCTTTCTCTACCACCCCTTCTCCGATCCATCTTCGTCACCATCCTCCTCACCAACGTATTCTGCATCACCCTCGTTCCCCTCATCTCCCTCTTTGCCCTCATCACCCACATCCTCATCCTCGTTGCCGCTGGCACCCACAGACTGCGCTTCGTTCTCCTTGAGGTCGGGTCCAGCATTACGTTCCGGCTCTGTTTGTCCAGTTCCAGCTCCATCACTACCCATCGTTTCAACATCCCCGTCACCAGCCTCCATGACGTTCGTTCTCCTCTTCTTTCCCCGTGTTTTAGATGACGGGGTCTTCCTCACACGTTTCTTTTTGGCATCGAGTTCCTGCACCACCTTCCCCCACTTCCTCCGCCGCCACCACATGCGCGCCCCCACGAGCTTCACAACCGCAGCCTTGTCGCACCCCTCTAGCAACGCCTTTTGTGCATCTGTTAGGGGGATGGTGTTATCCATCTCCTTACCGTGCCGCAGCACATAAGCAGCAGCGGCAAACGCCTAGCGGCCTCCTTGGGGGTTGTGTACGCTCCGAGTCGATGCTGCCGCCGTTTATCCCCTTCCCACGCCAATATCTTCGCCGCCCACTTCCAAGTGGACATCTCGATGGATATCCCGGTGTACATCGACGCCTCAACATCCTCGTCATCGACTCCCTCTCCTGCTCTCTCGTGTTGCTGCCACTTGGCTGGGTTGACCGGCCTCCGTGCCCTTCTGCACACTGGGGATGCCTTGAACGGACGAAGGCTGCTGTCTGGAAATCACCCAGTGCGGTATTGTACCGGGTTGCGGGAGTGTTCCCGCGGACGCTGGAATCTGCACACCGACCCCCATGAACTTTGCAGCAAGCGACACCCGCGTATCCGTACACTCGGCCTCCTCTGGACTCTCCAGACCGGGTTTAGCAAACCCAGAAGGGCGCTGAGGTGTGGTGGGCGCGTGTTTTGTGCGACTACTTTCTGGGATGCAAACACCGTCGGCGCCGCCGTCTTGTAGGAGTTGCACCGCTGCAGCTCGCACTTGCTCTGGTGTGTAGCCCATCAGATGCGACAGGAACGCAACTCCAGCTTCAAGCATTGCCATCTCGCGCTTCGACGAACGCTGTTCTGCCTGTAGCTGCTCCAACCTCGCGTGACAGTCAACGTGCTGAGGATGCGGAGCAGCACGGTCTTTCGTCACGGCTGGGCGCTCTTGCAAAGGGATGTCGATGTCGTTTGCTGCCAATCTTGGCAGAACGGTTCCGGCTACGTGCTCACAGATGTCCGCGCGCATTCCGCGCCTATACTTCAGAGAACTAACACCTTGAAACCAGAGCCCAGTGCACACGGTCTTGAAGCTCGTTTCCACGAGCTTCTTCAGGTAGTGGCACACAAAAATCCCAAAGTCGTGTGAGTTTGGCTGCTAAGGGCAGTGTTCCTCCTGCTCAAGTCACAAGGCATGAAACAACGACTTGCATCTGTTATTATAATGTTGCAGTAAACAAGTGTTGTCAATATGCAGGTCAAAACTCACCCCAAGCACGATGCACTTGGCTTCCTTGAGCACACTGTCCACATGAGTCAAATCCGCATGCGAATGTGTGTCTTGGGCCAGAACGGACACCACCCTGTGTAAAATAAATGTGTGAATTAGAGTGTGTTGATGAAAAAGGAGCCAGAGAATGTCATCGGTGCAACGTACAGTTTACACCCGCTGAAAATGGCCGCTGCGTCAGTTTGAGAGAGCGCGCTGTCGTATAGCACCATGACGAGGCTGTCCTCGTCCTCTGACGTCGCGGGTTTGAAGATCTTAGAGGGCTCACACACGATTACCAATGAGTAGTGATTACTGCAAGAAACACAAGATGGTATAGACAAAACGATGGTTGTTAACTGCGCAAATGACCATCGTTGAGGGGGGTTTGACACTCTGCGGGTGTGCACACACATCATGTGCTTACTTACTTCAGATACACTGGAATCGCTAGGTAATCGTGCTCCAAAAGGGGAAATCCTTCCCCAGAAGCCAAGGCCTTCTCCCACGACCTGGTATACGTGAACGCCTTTGCATCCAGCGCTGCCCATGTCTTCCCATCAGGCAGATTAGGCTGACAGATACTTAGCAATATGCGCCAAACGGCAAAACAGCAAGGACAGTAAGAACACAAGTCAGTACATAGAACAGAGACGATGAGAGATTAGGATAAACATTCGCGGTCGTCAACTCACGTGTTGTGGAAATCGATGAGTGCATCAGACACCCATTTCCCGACAGCGATAGTAAGCACATCCTCCAATTTTAGAACGCAACCGAGTCGGCGTTTGTTGTACAGCTCCAAATCCGGGAAATCAAGGGATGTTTTGCTCTGGCAGATGCGGGCAATCACGTCCGCATGCTCTGGCAACTCCTCCTTCATAAGAATCGGGGTCTCGATTTTTTTAAGACCCTTTACTGGCTTAGTCGCAGCGCGACTGCTACGGGTTCACGCACATCGTCCGCCGAGCTCGTCCTCGTTTACCGTTTTTTTTCGCCATCTGCTTTGCGAGCGCCATAGCGGCTGGGCCTACTTTAGATGCGTCGCGGACATTATTAAATTCGAGCTTGGCGAGTGATGGAACGCCTGGCAGCATTGACTAATGTCACAAAGTATGAAACGAGAATGACTAGAAACAGGACAGTACAGGGTTTGTATAGGCAAAACCTAACAGGACTGTACCCCATAAGGAGTGCCCCACTACAGCCTACAATATAGTTCTGACACACCCACATAGGCAAAGTGGGGGACAACAAGAGAACGAAGCAAGGTCAAGCTCAGGGTGGATCACAACGTCACCACGCAGTCCGAGCACAAGCAAATGGCCACAAGGCCTGTCCACATGCAGAGTTATATAAAGGAGAGCAAACAGTACAGTGATCACAACCTAGCAAGAGTAAGCATGCAGGTATATGTATATAGATTACAGTACAAGAAAAGTCAAGAGGTGAGCAAGTGAGGCCAGGTAGGCACAAGACCTAACAGAGTACAAAAACGCTGATGATCACAAGGCTGAAGTGCCTTGGTAAAGATATCAGCAGTGTTGGCCCGAGTGGCCACGTACGCAAGACGAAGCTGACCACGCTGCTGCATCTCTCGAGCAAGGAAGTAGCGCAGAGCAATGTGCTTCGTTCTGTGCTCCAGTCTGTGCTCCTGACACAAGGCAATCATGGCCTTGTTGTCGACGTACAGAATTGGAGGAGAACGAGGCGCCTCTCCCAAGTCGGTCAGCAGGTAGGTGAGCCAGCGTAACTCATGTGCAGCCATGGCCCCAGCTTAGATCTCAGCCTCACAACTGGAGCTGAGAACAGAAGATGAGCGGGTAGACCGCCACGAAACAGAGCCGGAACCAAGGCTGAAGGTGTAACCCTGTGACGACCGCTGCGTAGCCAAGTCGTCAACCCAAGAAGCGTCTGCGTGACCAGTGAGGACAACTCGAGCCCGTCCTCCAAGCACGAGCCCCATGCCCGACGTACTGCACAGGAAGCTCAACACCCTCTTAGCTGCATCCATGTGCTCTGGTCGGTGTCTCCCAGGAGCAACATAGCGTGCCAGGATGCTAAGAGGGTATGCCAGGTCAGGTCGAGTGCAGGTCATCAGGTACATGAGGCAGCCCACAAGCTCTGGGTACGGGCCACTCGGCTCTACGGACTCACCCAGGTCTGTGCACGTGTGTCTCTTCTGCAGCTCCGACTTCACGTGAGCCAGTCCAGCAGCGTCAGCAGTAGCAAAGACCAAGTCGTCGACGTACACGAGGATGTGGAACGGCGGCAGAGTAGTGTCGGTGCGGAGAAACAGCGACAGGTCAGCAGTGGAAGGAACGAACCCAAGAGCCGCAAGCGTAGTCCTCAGTGTGTCGTGCCACTCACGGGGCGCCTGGCGGAGACCGTAGACTGGCCGCCGGAGGCTCCACTGGGTACCGGGAGGAAACGACCTAGTGAATCCAGGTGGGCGGCGCAGCCAGATCTCCTCGTGCAGGGTGCCCTGTAGGAAGGCTGTGCTGAAGTCAAGAGAGTGAAGCTCGTAGTCACGCTGAGCGGCAACGTGCAGCAGCACCCGAAGAGTGGTCATCTTCGGGGTGGGAGAGAAGGTCTGAAAGTAGTCAACTCCCTGCCCCTGACTGAAGCCTCGAGCCACGTAACGCGCCTTGAAGACAGGCGGAGAACCCGGCGGCCGCTTCACCCTGAAAATCCACATGCCATCGACAATGTTCGCCCCAGGTGGGGGAACCTCGTCGACGTAGGTGCCTGTGGACTTCCAGGAAGCCATCTCTGCGTCCATGGCTGTCTGCCACTAAGAGGAGTAGGGACCCTCTATCGCCTCTGCGTAAGAGCGCGGGGTCGGGATGTCTGGTGCATCCGGGTCTCCCTCAGGGGCAAGCAGCATGGACACGAGATGAGGTAAAGCAGCAGCAAAACATTGAAACTCCTCCTGCCTGTCCTCAAAGACGTCCGTGCTAAGAGCACACTCACCTCCGACAGACGGAGGACAGACAGACTCTGACTCAGCAACAAGGCTAGCAGCGTAGTCTAGACGACAGTGAGCAGCAAAGTCGACAAGCTCAGCAACTAAGGCAGACGCAACAGTGGACTCAAAGGAAGGGTCAGTGACAACAGTGGCTAGGAGATGCGTGACAGTAGGACTAGCAGCACAAAGGGAGTCAGACTCCGGGTCACCAAGTGCAGGAAGAGAGGACGCAGGAGGAGACGGCAGAGGGACACGCTGCGGATCAGTGGAAGGACGCAGAGCCATCTGGTGCGTGCCAGGGACAGGAGAAGGACGCTGACGCGAACCACGACGACTAGTGCGAGCAGCACGAACAGGCGACGCATGACGAGACTCAGGCTCACGACGCTCCGTAAGACCTCCGGTCGGACCAGTGTAAGGAGAAGGACCAAGCAGTGGGGAGGCGGGCTGTAACTGTGACTGCGACTGGACAGGTGGTGGACACTCAAAGGAAGGAGCAGGACCAATAGAAGGCGGGAGACCAAGAACCTGCTCAAGGAGCGGAACGAAGTACGGCCGCGGCCGCGCAGCGGCTCCTGAACCAGCAGGGACAGCACCAGCACCCCCAGCGTCAGCTCAAACTCCAGCAGCACCACCAGCTCCAGCAGTACCTCCAGCAGTTCCAGCACCTCCAGGAGCACCGGCTCCAGCAGCACTGCCAGCAGCTCCAGTAGCTCCAGCTCCAGCACCTCCAGCAGCACCCGCTCCAGCAGCACTGCCTGCTCCATCACCTCCAGAAGCTCCAGCTCCAGCAGCACCACCTGGCCCAGCAGCTCCAGTACCTCCAGTACGAGCACCTCCCGGACCAGTGGCTCCAGCACCTCCAGCAGCTCCAGTGAGAGCAGGACCTCCAGTGCCAGCAGCACGGCTCCAGCGCCGAGCAAACCATTCGCGCAGCTGCTGTGGAGAGAGTGGCTCCCGCCGCGACGAAGCACCCGAA